CTGTCTCATTGTTATTATGCTGTGGCTAACCTTGAGATACCGTTTACGAGCAATTGACGTAATTGTAACACGCACGGCTCGCAGCTTCCAACATGTGATTCTACCCAATTCTGATATCAATGATCCGCTGATAATAATAGAAAAATATGGAGATATTACTACGGGCTGATCTGACTCCAAGAATGTCGCGTATTTTGGTACTGTGATGGTTGGAGATATCTTCTTACACCCGCGATGAGTTCATAGACTGTTTATACTCTCGTTTATTTTAACTGACGGAATCAAGTCATCATTGCGCCCTTGATATCTTGTTTCTTGAATGTTTCATGATCTGGTTGGACCGCAAGGTGAATGCCACTCGAAGTGACAAGTTTATATAAATCTAGCCCAAGTTATATCAAACTGATCCTAATCCTTATGATGATATTTCCTTGACTTATGGAAGCTATTGATAATCATAGCCAAAGACAACTATAATAAAACCTGTCTTGTGATATATTTAGCTCATTTGCTGATAGTTCTCGTGCTAAGCTTTGATGTTGGTTATGAATGCGATTCTCTGGGAGGAGGAGGAAGAGGAAGAGCGCCTTCCATTCGGGTGCATTTGATGCTTCTTCTTGCTCCAAGATCCAATTTGCCACTTGACTTCTTGTCTCTTCCTTCCTACCTTAGATTATATACCTACTCCTTCATAACATTTTATCTTGCTGTCTTCACTGAAGGACCATATCGTACACCATCCCTACCCTTCTACTCTTCTCTTTCATCCAATCATTGAAAAGCAAAATCATACATCGACCAGAGAATACACCATCTATATCTGTCTCAAGTGCTATCAGTCACTGCCATCAAAAAATCATGACAATCCAACCATCCGAGATACAACATTCACTTCACCTCCTCATTCTTGAGCTCCAGGCAGAACGCGTTAAGCTTGAACGAGCTGTACAAAATGCGTCCGGAGCTCTACAAGCAATGCGAACCAAAGAGTAGCAACACAGAATGTAAGTACTATTAATTCTTTTATCGAATCTTTTGGATTCTTTTTAATTCACAGAGTTATACTAAAACATTACTAGTCCAAACCCGCCCATATCTTGCCGCAATCACGAATTTACAGCGACCCCAGTACTAGGTGTGCCTAGAAATGGTAAACGATGTAATTGCTTTTATAATGGTAAGTTTTACCAAAGAGATATTTAGATTCTTTACTGATTATATATCTTAGGGAATACGAGATATCCTTTCCTTGTTAAAGCAGTTGATGAAACAAGGGCAAAAGGATCAGCGATAACAGTGGGGTACCACTTGTTAATAATGACATAGCATACCAGCGTTTACATGAAGCATAAGAATTCATATATCTTCAGCAAGTCTTTACAGAGCTGTAGCCAGAAGTGCAAACCGCTGTAGTCAGGTCTCTTTAGGCAGGATTATCAATAACTTGCTAGACTTGCATAAACTCATCATTTCAAGTGGTCAAAATATGGAATTCTTCTTGGGTCCCCCTGACTTCTCTCTCTGCCTGCGTTCGCCTCACGTTACTGATCAAAGAGACTAGTGAGAGAGGTTTTTATTAAATTAAACAAATATTGGTAGTTTCTTTACTAGTCAATCATTGCATATTCAGCAAACTCATTTAATTGTCCATCATGAGCATTATCTCCCGTGGGAAACTTCCTTTCCACAGAGCACTCTTCCACTCCAAACATTCATCCTCATACTCTGGCTTCGATAAACAAAATTCTCCCAAGACTCGGTTACCTTCATCCAAGTATATGGTACCGAGATAGAAGCACGTTGAATCGGCAACAGACAGAACCTCTTTCGCATGATCGAAGCGAAATCTCCCAACACATGCCTGGCTTCCATCTTTGTATCGAAACAACAAGCCGGATATTGAACTGCTCCCTTTCTGAGATTGTTCTCTGCAGATCTGAACCTCTCTAACAGCATCGAGCGAGACTTCTGAGGTCTCAACTGGATCTGTTTCGGATTCGGGCGCTAGTCCTGCTGGTAAGGGCTTCTTGTCACTTCCTTCTACAGTTGACGATGCAAATAAAGAAACGCCACCAAGACGAGGGCTGAAGTAGACTCGCATTGGATTGTCCATAGATTCTTTGGCTATGCATTTCCATTCGTTGTGCGGTGAGCTGCTTCTTCCCATGGTAAGTGTTCGTGACTGATTGGTGACCAGCTAATACGAGTCAGCTTCAAGCTTCAAGTGGGTTACGGTGTGTCTAGTCTTACCACTACCGCAGTCTCGTTGGCAGTATCTGATGTCTTTGGTCGCCTTTCATCTTCAGATATGTCCTTTTCGTCTGCTTCCTTCTTTGTGCGCAACCAGACTTGTTCAACAAGTTCTCCGGGATTCAACGGATGGTAAGTCCAATGAGGGGACGAACTTGTGGTCGAATTATCTGACTTTTCCTTGGGCAACTTGTGCTTCGCCATTTCGTCCAGCTCACGATAAAAGGCCAAGGACTCTTCAGTTTTGTGCGTATGAAGATCGACCAGCTGGTCCTTATACCAACAAGCAGAATATCCCGTGATCTCAGGCTCATTGAACTCCAAAGCCACCATGCGAGCTTCGATAGTCATGCCAAGACTTGAAGATGAGTCTTTTGTGACGTGGTAAGCCATGTTCTTCAATGCATCTGGGGCCATGGGATACGGCCAACAAATGGTGGGGTTCAACGGAGCGGCTGCGAAACTGCGCAATTTGAGGCCCTGTCTTGACATTAGTACAGTAACTCATGATCAAAGGTACAAAGCTTACATCGTCTGAGAATGAAAGGACTTTGCTGCTGATCGGGAGTGTACGCCACCAGCCCGAGCTACCATGTTCCATCACAAAAGCTCCAGGATCATTAACGATCTTCCGAATGCCGAGATGATCTTCTGAGATGAAAAGATAGTTCTCCTCCTGGTCCTCGAACTCTTTCCAGAGTAATCGGTTTCCAGGCTTTGGCGTGTTCGATAAGGAAGCCACATACTCAATTCCGTCCAGGTCGACATGAGTCGCCCATACATCCTTCAATGGCTCAATCGTGCATTGACTCGACTGAGAGACATGAGATAGTGAAGCTATCGCATAGTGAAGGACCAGATGTTTGTTCACCATCAACAGTATCTCTGGTGGTAGATTTGTGAACTTTTCACTCATGACCTGGTGCAAGTGGTTCAAAATCCACTCTCGTCGACGCTCATCTTCCTGAACTGAAGGCTCGTAAGAATATCGAGCAACTTGAACAAAGGCTCTCTTCTCAAGACCGAATGATGATGCAATATCGGAGCATTCAACGTGATATCCGATTGTCGCACATGATTCGTGGTCGCTTGTGCAGCGCCTGAAAGTTGCGTGTAACTTATTATCATTGAAGGAATCGCACGATTCAAAAGCAACGGTTTCAGTGCCACCAGATGCTCCTTTCACAGAGTTAGTATTTTATTTTTGACGTTGAAAGAGTATGGAACTTACTCGCTGTGATGAAGTCGCCGGGCCTGATCGTAAAGCGACACCATCCACATCGACGGCTGACACAGTAAGACGGATAAGGTATCATAGGAGGAAGAGGATTCACATGATTCAGTGCATGCCACTCCCACCCTTCAGCGAATTCCATCCATTCCAAATCCATTATTCGATCAAGTCGGCGGATTTCCTCAGAGCTGAGTCCTCCGGTGTAGTCCATGAAAGAAACACGAGTGGCTTGAGGCTGAAGGGAGCTAACTGGGTATAAATAAGCCAGCCAACCTGAGCTGAAGTGCAGCAATTGAATTGGATAGACTATTTGATGATATCACGTGGCTTCATTTATCCAACGTAAGAAATAAGACAGAATGAGAAATAAGGGAATTCTTCTTGTTATATAGCCTGATAACTACTTCAACAGTGCACCATTGCCAAGGCGAATGTATACATGCGCGATACCTGTAAGCTTACGCCCCCATTCACAAGAATGCGTTGAGACTACTGGGCAGTCAATAGATGCTATTATCTTACACTTAATTCTTCAAAACTCGATACTACATTCCCTAGTCATTGTCTCTTGTTGGTTCAAATAGCCGATTGTGATGCGATACGTTCGCTGCTTGCTTGCCGTATCTTCTTGAGTGTCACAATCTTGGCTAATATGCGGTTGACGTGGCCAAGACTGGTTATAACCGGACCTTTGTCCGTGGTAACACTCCATTTGGAAGAACCCCCTCAATAATGTCATTGGGTCAGGGATGGACTTATCATTGAGGAAACCCGCATCTAATTGTGCTCATGCGAGTTTGTGAACAGGCCCTTGTCTGTATTGAAGCTGGGACAGGAAGTGGCAGATTTATAACTATCACACCCGAGCTTCCAAGCGTTCGAATACATTATGGACAAAGCCAAAGGACTTGTATTACTTGTTGAATATCGACTGCTTTAATGATTGCACGAGCTGCCGTGAAGCCATACTCGTGGGTGAAGGAAGCTCTGTTGTCACATAAGGACCGAGATGCCACTCTTGGATGATGACTCTTGGAAAATGTGATGTGTCTCGATGTTGTTACTTTCAGAGGATGGTTGTAACAGATGAACTGGATATACTGAGATGTTTGCCAAGCTTGGTAGGTTGAATGAAATGAGTTGTATGCATGGACAGATAGATAGGCAACGTTCAGAAGCTTTACAGTCAGACCGCGCAGCACTGGACAGTGAGTGCTAGTTACTCTCTATATCTGAAGTAGATGCAGAACGACGGACTTATCATACATGCGTTGAAAAGTGGTATCAGAGTGACATGACTTGCATATATGGCTGTGGCTGTGGCTGTGGCTGTTGTCGGTTGATATCCTTGTGACGGTCGGTATCAGACCATATTCAACCAGGCCGATGGCGCTAAATACGATGGAAATATCGGTCTTAGTTAGATAGACCCTTGAGGCTTGCTTGCTTGTCCTAGATATCATTCAAGATGATAGATAATGTTGAAGATCAAGAGGTCAAAAAGGCAAAAGAGAAACTCCGGTACAGGGAATCGAACCCTGGGCTCCGCGGAACTGATCCCTCAGATGTAAGTATGAGAGCGCGAAATGTTAGCCACTACACCATACCGGACGCTAATTGGTTGAGATAGAGCTTCGCTACTCTGTGATATGATCCCTACAGATTGCTAGGAGCTTTAAGACTCAGGTCCTTTCTTGGTCGTCATATTTGTCAAATGTCAAAGTCTTATATATCTCTCGATGATGGGGAGAGTCAGGATAAAATTAGAATTCTATATGTTATGCATGATTTATCAGAAATCGTAATCTTGCACACCCGCTAAAGCATCAGAGAGGTTGGTTGCATGAATGACAATGGTGAAAGATGCTCAAGACAGAGTGAAATCCAGTGGGTATTTGTATTTAAAATTCTCGGTAGGCATTAAACCCCAACGTAGATGATTCCCATAAATAAACATAAACTACGAGATCTTGATCCCATCATTATACTCGGCTCAAAGATTCATCAAGATATGTGACTGATTGGAACCAGCATTATATCTGGTATAGGTTAGGCCAAGCAAGTAATTAATCCGTCAACAATTTCTGTCATTCGTCTGAACATAAGTCGACGCGGATTCGTCTCCCGTATTGCCAGGAAGTCGACGGACTTGTTGCCGATGCCACGTTTAAAGGCGAAGGTCCACGTATGAGCGAGACTCTCCTCGAGCAACAGTCAATCTACTCCTGACATGATTGAGCATCAGGGTATACCCAAGACAGACCTCTCATGCAAAAGGCCGAAATCTCCTTGCAATCAAGACAATTTCTTTTGCATCAGATCAGCCAGCTCGTCGAGCAGCTCCACGGTCTCGGCTGGGCTTGCGATCCAGGCCGTTGTTCCGACACTTCTCGCCTTGAAGTCATTTGATCCAGCGCTCAAGAATTGATCGCCTACGTGCAGTGTGTTCTCTCCGCGAATGGCGCCACCATTCTCCTTGCTACCAAACCACTGCTGGCAAACAGTCACACCCCAGCTCTTGTCACCAATATCGACAAACACATCATTACCTCCGTTGAAAGCACAGAATGGCACGCGGCGTGACTGGCTCGCCACTGAAGGTGGAATTGGAGGAGAGTTGGGTCGGTGCTTGGTCGGGCGCTCCTCGCTGGATCCGAGACTACTGAGCTCCAGAATGCGCTGAACAACAAGAACAGTCTCCTCAAGGCTCTCACGGGCGATGCGAGTACCTGGCGTCTTGGGGATAATACCAACAGCACGGTCCTTGCGCATGATCATGGCAGGCAGGTTCAAGTTGTTGACACAGTCACGAAGGGCACCTTCGGCAACATCCAGCAATCTTGTAATGTCAGCATCCGACCATGAGGCCATCTCGGGTGTCAGCCACTGAGTGCGCGGGACAGGAGCGAGCTTATAGGGCGAAGAAGGTGAGTACTCAAACAGGTAGTTTGCTTCACCTCCCATGATGACGATGTTTTGCTTCTGAATAGGATCCAGATCAGTTGACTCCGTAATTGCGTCAAGCAATCCATGAAGGCGCTCATAGTAGCGGTCGGCAGACGTGTAACCAGCAGCCGTGACAATACCAATCTTGATGTTCTTTCGTAGGAGGTCTGACAGACATTAGTTTGCTGTTTCGACTTTTTGTGCACCAGCTTACCGAGAAGACGGGGAATCACAGGACTCGATGGCTCAAGATTGAACCCATCGTCATACAAGGTCACATCACCATCAAACGTGGCCAACTGCAGTGATCCATTTGTTACAGCCATGGACTGGGCTGAGTTGAGGATCTGTCTGACATCGTTGAAGGATGGAGCAACAAATCTTCGTGATGAGATATACCGTTTTCTGTCTTGATACTTGAAAGCTGCCTCCAAGGGCAGGCGGGTGAAGAAAGGGCCCGCAGTGGGAATCAGCATCCGCAACTTGGACGGGAGCATGGTATCATCTTGCTGACGACTAACTGTTGGGAGTCAGACATGTTTGCCGTGAATGTGAGTTCGAAAGCTTACTGTGATCATCAATCATGAGCTCAACGTCACGCATAATCTCAGCGTAACGGCGGTGAGCCTCTTCGGCCATTTGAGTAACACTGGGTCCATCTCCAAAAACGCCAGTGGGCTGAGAGTAGAGAACGAAAGGGACAGCTAGAAGACCTTTGACCCATTCTGCGATTCGAGTTAGCTGGTTGAGTCTGATGTGAGGCGTGGATAGTGGGACATGTGATGCGGGGACGGAATTGGAAAATGGTGAATCAGAAAGACTGTGTATTGTGCTATAGCTGTCGTATTATCTAGGACAAGTAGAGTCCAACATACCAATAAATTGGTCTCTTCGGTGTGTCTTGAGAGCATCTGTTTGCTATTGTGAGCTTGTGTAACCATGAGTGTTTGGATGACAAGAAGGGAGGCTTGAGGTGGGGTTATTGACGGCTTAACTTACACTCGACACGGTAACGGGTTGTCATTGTTGCAGTTGGTACAAGGTTTCAGTTGATGCTGAAGGAGTTAAAAAGATACTTTGTAGGATGATGAATTGTAAGAGGGAAGAAAGGAGGAAGAAGTTGTTTACTGTCTGTTGTTTGTCTTTGATAAGATGAGGGGAGGTGAGAGACGGTGTGACCTGCACTTGCCTGACCTAGGTAAGTAGGAGGAGGTAATCTAGACCTCGTCGTACCTGCCCTACCTCCAAATCCGGGTGACGTACGGGAGCCGCCGCAGCGTTGAGCGGGGAACGCCGACCGCTAAGATAGCCCAAAGCTGTAGGGGACGATCAATTTGATTGGTTCGGGATATTCATGGTGCCCCTGTCAATCGCTCCTGCATTACGGCATTCACATTGATGAGATCTCCCACACTGCAACTGGGATACCCTAGACTATGCAGGAGCCTCACCTTTTTCCCTTCTTGCATGATGAACCAATACGATGAGTCCATAGCTACGAAAGATCATTCTTGGTTGAGCTTGTTTTTAAAGACTGGCTAAAAGTTGGTGCGTATGGCACCCCAAGTAGTACATCGAGTACAAACAGGGACTGTAATTCACAGCCAAAAGTCAATGTCAGTAGAGCATTGACTCACAACCTGCTCATGAGCCAATGATCAAGTTGAATGAGATGCGGCGAGACGCCCCCAAATCAGTATAATTCCGTGGCAACATATGCACATAAAGGATACATATCTGGCCATGCTTCTTTCCCATTCTCGTCCCGTTTCATCAGGTCGTCGACAATGACGATGATACCGTGAACTCGACGACGGCAGCAGGCGAAGCACAGTATAAGACCAACTTAATAAGACCCGAATATCACAAATCGATTATCATCGATTAAATCCTGTCAAGAGATGAGGGCAAAGCTTGGGAGTTCTCTCCCACCAGGAGACAAACATGTAAGAACTCTCGACCACATCACCAAGTCTCACTATACTGACAGGGCTCAACAGGGCGTCAGCGTATATATACCGACTTGGGAAGACACTGTAGCTTGGGCTAAAAGAGACCCCGAACTCATAGCCCAGCTCAAGACCGGATACCCTCGATTTTTCGTCCCTCTTGTCGTCAACGAACTCGCAGAACGATTGCTCACATGGACTTCTGAGTTACCTTCAAGATTTCTTACAAGAGAATTTCGAGACGATGTGAGGCAGTCGTTGAAAGAGCGCGGACGATCGGCAATGCTAGTAACAGCGTGCCAATATGCCAAAGATCTTCAAGGATATCTAGAAAGGCAGCGAATGAGAGCATCAGTCTTCGTGGTTGACTTCGACGGTAATATTCGTCCTGTGAAAAAGGCAGAGAACGGAAGTGACTTGAACAAAATCTATGTGGTCGTTTACCCACAACAAGGAGAAAAAGAGGCCAAAGCATTCTGGCAACATACAGGCTATGGTATCTCGAGTCGAAGAGCGACGTATTGGCTCGAGAATGCCCCCTTTTTTTCCCCCTTCCTTTTTCGAATCGGGGCCGGGAATTGCCTGAGGCCATTCTTCCAATCCAGGAGGCCAAAGAGGCCAAGATTGCCATGCAACAACGCATTGCAGACTCGCTTAGTACCAAAGACAACAAGTTGAAGAAGAAGAGCGATGTGTTATTATATCCCACCGGCATGTCGGCTATTAGCCATATCCATGATATTATCAGCCTTTACACTACAACGACAAAGAGGACCATTGCGATCTTCGGGTACGTCAAAGACAAACTTGATAATTGACCAGACTAACGACGAATCCAGATTTTTATATGTTGGTACTTTTAAAGTCCTAGGTAAGATCCACGGCTATGAATGTAAACTCTATGGCGCTACATAATCCGACTTGGAAACTCTTGAAGACTTGGCCTCAGGTCTGCAGCTATAGGCCCTCTTTACAGAGTTCCCTGGCAACCAACTCCTTGGCTCTGTCGACCTAGAGCGAATATAAAGGATGCCCGAAGAATACGACTTCTTGTTCGTGGTTGATGACACAGTCGGTACATCGGTAAACGTCGACGTTATCTCACATTGCGATGTTGTATGCACAAGTTTGACAAAGATGTTTAGTGGGAGCTGCAACGTCATGGGAGGAAGCGTGGCCCTGAACCCAAACGGCGGAGCCCATTGGGATATAAAGAGACGATTAAAGGATCGTTATATCAACACCAACTTTCCGCTGGATACGATTGTAATGGAGAAAAACAGCGCAGATTTCGAAGAGCGAGTTATCAAAGCCAGTCAAAATGCAGAACATATCGCAGATATACTTCGCAAGCACAGTTCGGTTGGGCAAGTCTATTATCCCAAGGGAAGCCCGAAACAAACGTCCAGAAGGTGTATGGATATCTGCTGTCTATTCGTTTCAAAACCCTCGCAGCTGCCATCGGGTTCCACGACGCTCTTGATGTGGCAAAAGGGCCAAGTTTGGGGACCAACTTCACTCTAGGTTGTGCATATACACTCTTCGCGCATTACCACGAGCTTGAATGGGCTGAGGAGTATGGTGTTGTTGAGCATTTGGTACGAATCAGTGTGGGGATCGAGAATGAGAGATTCTTGGAGGAGGTTATCAAGGCAGCTCTGGATGCAGCTGAACAAGCGAGTAAGAAATGAACAGGATGTTGTGACATCACTAGAA